TGCAGCAGCAGCCCTGATCGATTTCCCAGTGGCCAGATTTAATGCCACACTCAATAAACACAGCTCTGGAGCCGATCCATGAGCATTAGGGGAGGAGCCAAAGCTTAAAAGCTGGAGAGAGCCCCGCCCTCTTTGATCAATCCCTCGCCCAGCTGTACCTCGGCTGCAGATCACGCTGGGAGACAGTGTCAGGCTGGCTAAGGTGGGCTGTCTTGCTACTGGCCGGGGCCCCCGCCTCGCTCCGCGACCCCCAGTAGAAGATCCGCCCAGCCAGGCTCTCCAGCTTCTGAAGCAGTGACATCTTAGCGCCTTTGTGCCTGCTGGGGTTGGGGCAGGTCATTTCTGCTCCATGGCTCATGTTTCCCTTCATTTATTTATCTCCCTCCTTCCCCGGCCCTCACAACCAGAGTCGACGCGAAGCTCGGCCCTGATCCAGGAATCCTCCAGCCTTGGTCATTACCCAGCAGCGGAGAAGACAGCAGGATCAGGGACTAGAGGGATGGCCCCAAGCCTCAGCAAAACTCCTCCACTCACGACAGAGACAGGGGGTTTGAGCTGATTGCTCTCGACTTCAAACCAGGAGGCAGAATTTCCATCCAACAGCTCCCCTGCCCTGCAGCAGCCCCAGAGCATGGCTGTCAACTCACAGACCGGTGTGCGACTCTTCAGGACCAGCCAGTCACATCCATGCACATTCCCAAGTGGGAAAGACCCAGGGACTTGGAAATGGTTTCTTCTCTCCCACCTCTCTCTGGAGAGTTGGCTTTCCTGGTGGCGGAAATGGAGCTGGAGTGGGGGAGTCTGGTCATTTACGCAGCCAGCCAAGTCAGTTTCACTTCCTTGAGGGTGAGGGGAGGACAGATTCTGCATCAGAAGTGATGGGACAATGGCCAGTGGAAAGGGAAACACCCACACAGCAGGGCTTAAAACAGCGCCCTGGGTCTCCGCTCCTCTCAAATCCTTGGGCTGAAAGCAGCATGAGAGGCTCCCTCTGGCTTCACTGCCGATCCTGCTTGCATTGGGGGGCAGACCCCTAGAAAAAACACCATCCTATAAGTACAGTGTCCCCCAGGCCAAGCCACTGGGGCTGCAAAGGAAATCGGGGGGCTGCGGGTGGGCTTGTGGCTCACATGAGGCCTGAGTCAGAGGGGTGCAGGTCCTTAAGTCCACTGCTGGGGGCCCCGCTCGCAGAGACGAACAGCAGGGGGTTGCAGCACATCAAAGGTGGCTCTCCAAGTGGCGTTCAAAGAGACCCACATTCGGAAACCCTCAGCCCTCGGAGGCACCCTGCTACAGCACCCCAGGGAGGAGATCTCGAAGCACCATGGGGTTTGACTCTCATGCCGTGCAGTCCCAGGCAATACCAAACGCTGGCAGGGGTGGGACCCAGGACTAGTCGCCTGGAGGTTTCTTTACTTTGCCTTTCCCAAACAAGCGCTGCTGTGCTCCTTGACCTTGGGAGCGAGAAGCCACTGTCAGCGGAAACCAAAGAGAGCCGGGTAGCGCTCCGGGGGAGAAGCAAGAGGGTGGGATGGGGAAGAAGGAGGCCCTTCCTTGTGAATCTCAGTTTCCAAACAGCTGGGGTCTGCAGAGACCGGGACTCTGCAGGCAGGTGGCAGGGGGGAATCCGGAAAGGAAGCTGCTCACCATGGATGCAATGGACAAGGGGGCTACTGTGTCAGCCCCCAAAAGGTGCAGAGGAGGTAATGGACCAGCCGGCTGAAAAAGTGCACCCAGAGGAAGAGCTGGATCCAGAACTGGAAGTCGAAATCTGAGCCTTCCTCAATCCCACAAAGGTGACTGGGTCTGAGCTCCATGCCGCTGCCCCCGGTGACGCAGACCTTGGCTCCTGGCCGCCGGGATTCTGATTCAGACTGCCCTCCTTATCTACACTGCCCGAGGCTCCCCCATGGCTGCATGGCTTCCAACCAGACCTCCGGGACCCTTTGAGGGGCGGAAGCGGGATCTCCGGGGGAGGAATGTCTGGAGGGTAGCAGGGTGGGAAGCAGCCAGCTTCGTTCCTGTTGCTTCCCAGGCTCAGGGCTCAGCCTGCCCTGGTGAGGAGCGCGCTAGGTATAGTTTCCAGTGCTGCTCCCGCGTGCAACACGATTGGCTTATTTGAGCTGCGCCTGGGTGAATGGAAGCCTTGACGTTGACCAGCCAACAAGAGCAGATCAGCTGAGCAGCTGGGCGGAAAGGTCTCCACTAGCTGCTGCATGCTCAGCTCCCCGGGGGTGGGTCTTGAGACAGCCCCTCCCATCTGGGACCTGTGCTGGAGCTCCCCCCATCACTATAAGGCCTAAAAGGGGATTGATTCGAAGCCACTCTCCATGGAAGGGACTGGAGCAGGCCATCAGTACCCTTCCTCCAGAGCTGGAGCCTAAACCCCCTTCCATGGAACTCGGGGTGCTCAAGCTGTTCAGGTCAGAACAATTCCATTGCCAGCCCCGTCTGAAGGCACCAGCAGAGGGAATTAACTGGGGTGATCGGGGTGGGGGTAACAGATATGTAGCTGAGTCCGCACTCCTGAGGGGCTGCCCCCCCCACCACGTGCCAATCCGACAGGCTGGCGAGAGTGACGCCGAAAGGGTTAACCTTGTGCAGGTGCAGCTTTGGCAGCACCAGGGGAATTTTCTGCCATCTCAGGTGGCGGGTCCCGCAGGTTCAGCATGAAAGGTTTAAAATATTCCAGCGTGCTCACTAAAAATCATCTGCCTGCAGCCAGCAACGAGCAGCAGCAGGAGGGACAAACGGACACAGCAGATGGCATTTTGCCCTCCTCAGCAATCGGAGCACCATGGCCTGGCCACAGATGGTGACCCCAGGGCAGTCAGCCTCATGGGGCAGCACCAGTGAGAGCCCCACTTGGTACACCCGGTCTAACTAGGGGCGTGTCTGGTCTGGCAGCCTGAAGCTCATTAGTCATTCATTTCAGCAGTGGAATCCCTGCTCCACCCCAGAAGTGGGCGCATCAGGGAAGCATTGAATGTTTATTGCTGAACAGCCCTGTGCACCCAGGGAGGCACCACTGGGAGTACAGGCCATTTAACCCAGATAGGTTCATTTTGGTGGAGCAGGCAAGCCACCCTGCTTCAGAAGCCGTCGCAGGGACTCATGATCTTTGAACAACTGAAGCCCACCCAAGCAGTTGCAGGTATAGAACATACACATCTTGCCCCCCTTAACCCTGCTTCTGCTCCCCCAACAGCAGCGAGCTGGGTCTGTGAACACGCAGGGAAAAGGGAAGATGTAACAGATCGGGGGGGGGGGGAGGCAAGAGACAGCATGAAATATAGATCTAGGCTCTGCACACAATCCTCCACTCCCTAAGTTACAGCGAGCTTTCTGTCACAGTTTACCAGGGGCTGTGGCGGATTCTCCAGCACAGGCAATTTTCAAAACAAGTGTGGATGCTTTTCTAAGAGATCTGCTCTAAGTCAAAAAGGCAAGTCCTATGGCCTCTGCCACGCTGGAGGTCAGACTAGCCCAGTGGTTTTCAACCTTTTTTATTTGCAGACCCCTGAACAATTTCAAATGGAGATGCAGACCCCTTGGAAATCTTAGACACTGTCTGCAGACCCCCAGGAGTCTGCCGACTACAGGTTGAAAACCACCAGACGACATGAACACTGTGGTCTCGGCTGGCTTTGGGATCTCTGACCGATGGCCTTGTGGTAAAGGCAGGGGACTGGGATTCGGGTGATTTGGGTTCCATTCCCAGTTTGGACACCGACTTCACGCAACCTTGGGTGAGTCATTTCAGCTCAGCTCCCTGTCTGTAAAATGGGGCTATGAATCCCTCCATTGTGTGTCTGCTCTCTTTAGATTCAAAGCTCTTTAGGGCAGAGACTCTTTCCAGGTGTTGGAGGGTCTCGGATCGGGTCATCATGTGCTACTGTAATACAAATAATACAAATCCATCCCATTCTTAACCAAAAGGAAAGCAGGAAGCCAGTTCGGATGCTCACATCACAAACACATGCTGATGCAGGAGAGAATTGCAATCATTTTCAGCCCCAAAACTATGTATATTTACAAACATAGGGTTGTAAAAGCAGCGAGGGCCGAGGCACGTACTGGCCGCCGCTTCCTGCAGCCCCCATTGTCCTGGAGCGGCGAACCGCAGCCATTGGGAGCTGCAATCGGCTGAACCTGCGGACTCAGCAGGTAAAGAAACCAGCCCAGACCGCCGGGGGCTTTCCCTGAACAAGCGGCGGCCCGAGTTTGAGAACCAGTGTCCTAGACAGACCCCTCCAGACACACAATGAGGTGGGTGGGGGCACAGGCAGCAGCAAAGTGCAGCAGTGTGGGGCATGGAGGAACAGGGCAGGGGTACACAGGTATGAAAGAGGCTCTAGAGTTATGGGTTCACGGGGCTGGGGGAATGCAGCCAGGCCAGCACAGAACTGCTGGGTGTCCCAGGCAAGGTGAAGTGGGGGCAGAAGGGGGGCCCCCTCAGTAGCCTGTCCTCTCCACACTCACCCTGCCCGGATTCAACAGGCCTTTTTCCAGAACTGCTAAGCCCTCCTCCCCGAGGCCCGGGCACACTGCTCTCCCCAGTCCCCATGACCCCAGGCCCAGTACCTCCTAATGCAGGGCAGGTCCCGTATTCAACCCTCCGCTTCAATCCCCAATCCCCCGCACTCCCCACTTCCCCCCCACACTCCTCCCCCCAGGCCCCATGCTCTCTCCCCCGCCCCAGCTTAGGCCCCGAACTGTCTCCATCCCTCCCAGGGCCCCGATCCCCCCGCAAGGCCTCCCATTCCCTACTCCCCCCGCGTCCTGCACTCCCCCCACTCCCCGCTCCCCCCTGTGGCCCCGATCCTCTCTTCAGGCCCCGCGCTGTCCCCACCCCCCTGGAGCCCCGATCCCCCCGCCAAGCCCCACGCTCTCCCCATCCCTCCACTCCCTGCTCCCCCCCCGGGCCCCAATCACCCCCGCCAGACCCCGCGCTCTCCCCTTTCCCCCACTCCCTGCTCCCCGATCCTCCCAGCACTCACTGCTCTCCAGCTTGCCGCCCTTCTGGGACGTCGCCGCATTGCCCATCGTGCTGCTGGGGCCCGGGCGGGTCCGGTTGCGGCTTCCACTACCCCTGCTGCTCCCTCCAGCGCCCGCTGCCCGCAGGAGGCTCAGCTGGAGCTGCCAAGACCGTTATTGCCTCCCCTCAAAGAGTTCCTCAAAAACCAAATGCAGAGAGAAACTTTTCAGGATTCCGAAAGAAAATTCAGTAAAAAAAACCCAACATTTGCTTGAGGATTTAGAGAGATGTTAGTGGTTTAAAAAAACATTACAACAAAAACTATGTTTCCTTCTTGTGTTGCCGGCACCTGGGTTTATTAAACTTAAAGCTTGTTTTTAATATAAATCCCTCCACACTTATTGCCTTTGCAGGTATTTCAGCATGGACAAATAGGGGGAAAAACGCCCACTACAGCTGGTCAATTTCACTCCAGTTGGAGTCAGTTTCACTTCTGGTACATTACTCACTCCACATTGCTACACTGAACCCTGATCAGCAGATGGAGACACCTCAGCAACTGCTAGTGCCGATTCCTTGTTTACAGCCACTAAACTGCATCAACCCACTAAAGACTTTCTTCATCTGAATTTGAAATAATGTCTGCAGCACGGTTCACCCTAAATCAAAGAGGATACTGCAGAATTAGAAGGTTCAGAGAAGGGCAAAGAGAATGATCTAGGGTCTGGACAAACTCTCCTATGAGGAGAGATTGAAAGGATTCTTTACCTTTAGAAAGGAGACCAATAAGAGGGGTCATAATAAATATCTATAAAATAATAATTGGGATGAAGAAGGGAGATCAGGAGCTTCTGGTCTTCCTGTCTCATCCCACAAGAGCCAAGGGACACTCAAATAGAATGAAAAGGTAGGGAATTCAAAACCAATAAGCGGAAACACTTTTCAATTAGCCCGTAGAACTCACCACCAAATGAAGTTGAGACCAAAACCAGCCTGGACATTCACATGGAGAAAGACTATCCAGGACTATAATTTAAATTACAACAATAATTCTGGAATGGATATTAAACCTTGTGCTTCAGGGTTTAAGCTGAACTGCTAGACACCAGGATGAGACCTATGGTGGTGGAAAGTTTTCCTCCCCACTGCTACTGTGGGTTCTTTACCCTTCCTCTGCAGCGTCTACTGCTGATGCGACATGGACCTCAGGGCTGACCCAGTCTGGCAATTGCTATGTTCAGGTTATTTTTCCACGTTGTCTGTCGCTGCCCCGGGACATTAGGGGATCATGAAGGAGGAGCTGCTTGATGGGATGGCACAATGGGAACAGAGAGCCCCATGGAGATCTCCTCAACCCCACACTATCAAAAGTCTGAGGTAACACCGAGCTCTTAATAAGCACTTTTCATCCGCAGATCTCAAAGTGCTTTATAAAGGAGGCTCAGTAACACACGCCCCATTTTACAGATGGGGAAACTGAGGCACGGGGAAGGGACTTGCTCAAGGTCATAGCTGGGAATAGAACCCAAGTCTCCCAAGTCCCCGTGCTCTATGCACTAGGCTGCACTGCCTGCCAAAGCAGCCTGCACTGTCACAATGCTGCACTAAGAAAAGGAGTACTTGTGGCACCTTAGAACCTTTTCATGTTCTCTATGTATATAAATCTCCCCACTGTATTTTCCACTGAATGCATCCGATGAAGTGAGCTGTAGCTCACGAAAGCTTATGCTCAAATGAATTTGTTAGTCTCTAAGGTGCCACAAGTACTCCTTTTTGCGAATACCGACTAACACGGCTGCTACTCTGAATGCTGCACTGTTTGGTTTTCTGGGGAAGGTTTAAAAAACAAACTGTTCTCTTTGGAATTTCATAATTTCTAGGGACTTTGGGGTATGTAACAACCTTGTTTTTACAACCCCTAAATTCAAGGTCTAAATCAACCCCAGCCCTCTCTACATGGGGAAATGCCCCCTCCTTCACCCATCCCAAAAAATTCTAACCAGTTTTAAAACCAGCTGGAGCCAGAGCATCAACCAGGCTCCAACCCCTCTAACCATCGGTTAAGGCGGGCCTGGGCAGCCTGGACCGTGCCATGACTCCAGCCACTTTTCAAAACCGTTGAGAAGTTTGGGGGGAAATTTTCACTGGTCTTCAAATAAATCTCTCTAAAATCTTCAATTGCAGTGAGACAATTCATAGGTGCACTGAGTTTAAGGCCAGAAGGGAGTGCTGATGATCATCATCATTCTAGACTGACCTCCTGCATAACCCAGGCCAGGGGATTCCACCCAGTCACACCCGCATCCAGCCCAACAAACTGTAGTGGAATAAGAGCAGATCTTTTAGAAAGAAACATCTAGCCTGGATTTAAAGACTCCAAGCGATGGAGGATTCACTGCATCCCTTGGTAAGCTGTTTGCACGGTCAATTTCACTCCTTGTTAAAAATTTGCTCTTTATTATTCCCAGTTTGAATTTGTCAAGCATCAACTTCCAACTGATGAATTGTCTTGCCTTCATCTTCCAGACAAAAGAGCCCCTGCTATCAGAAATCTTCTCCTAGTGTATTTATAAGTAGTGATCAAGACAGCTGGGCCCCTTGCCCTCCACCTCCAACCAACCTCCCCTCTCCTGCTACCAAGCCCCTGACCCTGCACTGTCAGCCAGCCTCCCCTTGCACCCTCGCTGGGCCTCTGGCCCCCCACCTCCAGCCAGCCTCCCCTTGCCCCCTCACCCAGGCCTCTCACCCCCATAACTCTAACCAGAAGACCCTACCCAGGTCTCTTGCCCTCCCCTTTCCAGCCAACCCCCACTGCGTGCACCAGGCCCCTGATCCCCAACTCCAACTAGCTCTCTACCCCCGGGCAGCTCACCCTCCAACTCTAGCCCCTGAGCCAGGGACCTTGCTCCCCTCACTCTGATCAGAGCTCTACGGATTCTGGTCACATCCAGTCCCATCAACCTTTCCTGGTGCTCTGATTTCTGGAGTGGGGGCTCAGGGTCCGGCGGGTATGTGGCCCAGCCTACATGAAGACACACTGGGTGCGACCCTCCTGTAACGAGGCTCTAGGCACCTGGGCCATCATTTCTAATCTGAGAAAATTCCAGAAGCATTGAAACCGTCAATCATTTCAACCAGAACTTCACCAGCCAGGCCCCTCCAGCCGGCCCGGCCCAGCCCAGCCCAGCCCTTCCCCTGGTGGGGGGCTCATCCTCGCCCTTCCCTCCCCCCACCCCCAATAGCCTAGTGAACAGCTGCAACAGGCACTAGCAATGCCCTTCCAGTGCCTTGCTGGGCATCACAGCTGCTGGGAGCTGGCAGCTACATGGCAGCAGCTGATGTTCATTTGCCTCAATTAACACATTGTAAGGAAATGCTGCAAAATCATCACTGGGCATACACTCCCTCAATGCACAAATCACATCCTCTTGTGTTACGTTCGGTGTTACAGATAATTTAGCTAACCAATTAAGCACAGTGTCCCGATTACATGGACCCTTATGTTTACCCATTGCTCGAGCTTGCTCTGGTGTCAGAGCTTTACTATCCTGCTTTACCAGGGGAGGTTCCCCATCATTTTCGAATTGGGTAACCGTTGTTACGACAGGAGCCAGCGGGCATCCTTTTTGAGCAGCTTCCACCTCCTCCCAGCTTGGGGGTGCAGAAGATGGTTGCTCTCTTTCACACCAACTTTCTGGTTGATGTTTTTCACACCAGTCTATTGTTAAGGCAGCTAAAGGGTTGGTTTTTTCTGCCTTCATTACCCCTTGTGTCAATTGCAGTTGTTCTTGCAATTGCCTAATGTGATGCTGGCATTCCACATGTGAGTCAGGCTGTTCCTGGCGATCAGCAGCCTCCTTTATTAGCTGCCGAACTGCTGCTTGTGACTCCAGCAGTTCTTGCGCTTTGATTTCTACTGCCCTTTCAGTGGCTGTAGCCGCGGCTGTAGCCTTAAGGCTAAGATCTCTCAGCTGCTGTTCTAACTGAGCCACCTGAAGTGTCAGCGTGGTCACAGTGGCTTTGGCCATTTGCAGCTCAGTGGCTTGCTGTTCAGCCTGCTGAATGTGCTGCTTGTTCTTGTCAGTTTTCTGGTCTACCTGCTCTTTAAGCAGCACCAATTGGGAGTTGAACTCATGGCGGACCATGGCCAGGCCGTAGATTAGAGCTCGTTTCCTCTCCATTTTACTGGGCTTTGGCCTGCTGGTGTTATAGCTAGCCCATAGGATGGAGAACTTGCCCAAGGAATCATCTCCTGCCAATGATTCCTGCTGCCACGGATTTCCTCCCTTCCCAAATAAATCAATTGCATAGTCCAAAGAGTTTTTATTAGACCGGGGAGTCCTTCCGTGCAGGCTAAAGATCCGGTCCATTGTGCTGTTGTTAGGAGTTGCTTACCCAACTCCAGGAAATAAAAGGGCTACTCAGAAAGATAGAGGGGCTCTGGTAAGAAAACTGTGCCCTTATACACAGCACCTCGGCCCAGACTAGGCTAGCCTAACATGCTGCCTTATGCCAAAGAGAAAAGTGGCCACCCTTCTGGGGCACAGACGACTTCATACCAATCCTCTTTTGGGAAAGGCCTAACGGCACTGGACAGGGCAACCAGTAGCCGCTACCTACTACCGATGGGGCATCCCAGGTGTCCCCGTGACCTCTGGTCCACAGTAGCAGGATTTCAAGGGGGCTGTGAATAAATCCCAGCCTTGCCAAAGGCAGGGAAAAGGAGCCAACTGGTTTCCTTGCTCTTCGGCTATTACAATACAATCCCAGCACAGACCCCCTCCCCCAGTCTCACGGACCACCACTGCTGCTGTTCACAAAATAAAACAAAACCTAAGCCTAACAGGACCCTAAGGAGACAGCCAATCCAATCCCCAGAGAGTCCTGCCGCGGTCGCCAGAAAATGTTACCTCAAAGGGGAGCCAAGGTAACCCTAAATGTATAATGGTGTAGGTAACGAGATGTAAAACAAGCCCCTTTTACTCAGAAGAGCAGACCCGCCCTCTGCCGTGTCTGTCACCGGCGGACTGGTGTACAAGTCTCCTTCCTTCTTCCCTGTGTGTGGTGCAAATAAATAAAAACTGGCAATAGGTAAAGGTAAAAATGACAGGTAAGTGTATTGGGGGGATAAATTTACAAATCAGGGAAGGGGTAAATGGGAATCAACAGTAACTAGATAAACGATACAAAA